CCAATTGCTGGAGGGGACCAGAGTCAACCCTGCGTTGCGCAGTTCGCAACGGCACGTTGAGAGATCCTCAACGCACGCTGTATGGGCGGAGACGCAGACGGCTCGAGCATGCGAGTGTGAATGTTCGCGCGAGAGAACGTGTCTAATCGGGCGAAACTGCGCAACGTGGCCGTTGAGAACTGCGCAACGCAGGGTTGACTCTGGTGTGGAGTAGCAGACACGTGTCGCACGTCAAACGATCGATTCCTATCTGATGCTGTGCGATCGTTACAATCGGATGACCGAATATTAATGCGCCCTCATGGAACATGATCAAACAGTAATGCCAAAAATACCTTTTGTTTCCTCAACTTATTTAATGGTTCGTAATAAGAAGCCCTCCAGAACATCTCCAATGCTTGCGCATTTTCATCAGACTCGTCCAACTCGGATAGCACGCGCCTTATCCTAGAATAACAACCCTGCAGAATGAAGAGGACTGCACTGACAAAAACATACTTCTTTCTAACAGATACCGAATGAGAAGAATTGATCCCTTCCTCTTCGTAGACTTTGCGAAGCGCTCGACAGTACTTGCCTACACGTTCCATGTTCTAATAGAAGGTATTAATTCGGTCGACGTTCAAGGCTTCACCTCAACGAAAAATGTTCGACGACACTTGCAGCCTACAGATTCTCACGAGGAAAGTTTTAAATGTGAGTTGTGACAAACCGACGTAGGGCACCCGTGTTAACGGTGGTAAAATCAGATTAAAAGAGGTGTCAACGTTGGGACCAGTCGTTAGCGATCGCGCTATTGCTAACGACTTGATCTATCCAAGCGATACGCTAGCGACTAATCTTATGCGCTCGGACTCCTCGAACCGCTAGCGAATCCGCGGTTTGACATCTCATGCCTAATGCGAATTTCACCGCCTACAAAACTGTGGATCACTAAAGCACGCTGATTGGGCAGCATCCCTAAGGAAAGGGGTGGGAAGGGGAGCCATGGCAAACTACTTTTTCTCAAAATGTTTTTTTTTTGCATTCTGTAGCGACGCGTAGAGACACGACCATGTTCCTGAACTGAACGATTTCACCAATACCGGAAAACAGTGAAGGATTTGTTGATGGGTCGATTTCTCGAAGTAACAAAACGCACAACAAGTTCGCGCTTACAAGTTGGTATCTAATAGCGCCAATTTCAAAAAGACTTTATACTCATAATAAAGCCCATGGAGAATCACTGTGATGTTTTATCGAAAGCTAGTGTAGACGCTCTGAAAGCTGCATCTCCTATCAAAATCACTTTCTCTCCTTTCTTGGCTTCCTAACCATTTCAAATCAAACGCTCGGCAAAAGCGGGCCGGATCTGTATTCATGTGCGCACCCCTAGAACATGCAAAACTGTTCCCAGCACGGCTTGTCCTAAAGAACCCACTTGCAACATTGGCTAGCCTTCTACATATTGATGCAATCAAAATTGCAGAAATATGGTGGATAAACCATTTCGGAGCAAAAAAAACCGAAACGTAAAATTTTTACACGCGGTAGGAATTCACATCACCAACGGCATCATTCTATGAAGCACACATTAACATGAATATAGATGCAACTCGTACTGAACAACAATCGAAAAACAATTCTATTGGAAACATATGGAACCGGAATACAGCATTGCCTACAGAAATTTAACAATGTAGACATATATTTCATATAGAATTTTTCATAGAAGGCATCTCTTTAATCACAAACAAATTGCTCACTCAAACACCTTGACAGCTCCTTTGTAAAGAACAAAAATTATAATTCCAATGGTGGTTGGAATGAGGAAATTGGACCAGGTCGGTGACAGAAGGACTTCCTTTACATTCTTGAGAGCACAAGACAATGAACATCCTTGCTCTGCAGAAGCACTGGACTTTGTGGTGCTACCCGATGAGTTGGCTTGTAAATTTCCTAGAATATAAGAGGGCCTTGATTATGTATGAGCCACAGTCAGAGATTAAAAACTGACCAATAAGATACTCTTTGGCCATGTCTTTGGCATCCTTTGAGTGCCCAATATCATCGAAAGCTGCGGTAGCATCCTGTTAAGAGAAGGCTCACAAGGTATAATGGAAAATTCACAACGTAACGTTGAATATACCTTTCCAGCTAGTTCAGCGATAACTTGAAAACCTCCCGGATGCTCAGCAAGAAATGAGCTGACATCGTAAACCTGCAAAAGGAACACAATAGAAAGAAATGATATCATCCAAGCGATTTAAAAGGCAACTTCGATTGAGCAAATGTCATTGTACATGAGCTTGGCTGCAAAACATGCGAACTTATTCCTTCCTAACTCCTGTTAAAGCTCTAGTCTTGCAATGAATACGGCTCACATAATGACTTTCGCACCAACTACCGTAAGCTGCATGTGTGTGCCAACAAGTGCTGCTTGTCAGGGTCGTATATACTTTGCTCCCTTGCGATTTTGCGATCTTGCATTTTTTTTCATAAAAGGTACATACCGATCACACGTTAGATCGTGCGATCCACTATTGCAGAATCGCATCATCGATGTGTATCCACTCTCGAGCAGCAAAGTATAATATGACCCGACCCTAACACGCAGGATGGCACCAATCAGAATACCTGGAGGGAAGGTAGACTTGTTATAAATAAGGGGTAAGATTCTGCAATCGAACTTCGGACAATGGTAGGGAAAGAGCACTGACTAGTCACCCCTTCCCCAGGTACTATATCGCATTCAAATATCACTTTGACTGAAAGCGGAAGCCGAATGCGCGGCTCACTTAAGAGGAGGTTGCTTCATTTATAGCTGCACTCGGTAGTGCGTTTCAAGAAAGGAGCAAAAAATACCCAACACTGAGGTAGAAGCAATGATTGTCACGCTACTTAATTTAATTGTTCCGTCGAATGTTGAAAAAGATAAGACAGTGCTCTTGCTCACTGCTATACCACCCCCTTGTTCGAATTCATTCTCACCTTTCCCTTGTATCAACGTAATCTGTTTGGTCTACACAATGACTTGTGGCAACTAGCCAGCGTATGGAAAAAGTTATCTACACTCCTAAACTAGGGCATAAAGTGAACCCGAATAGATTGAAGTTAAGGTAATCTCACACGTGATCCCGCGTATCGTGCAATGCTAGCAGCACCTCATCCCAGCGTCACCTCTTTTGACCGGGTTTCAAAGATCACGATCTCTCTACAACATCAACTTTAAAATCTGCACTTTCAACAACTTCACTGTATGGTATGAAACACTGGAATGACTTGTTGCATAACGGTGGCAAACGCCGTTTTAGGCATAAGGGAATAAAAACTGCTTAGAAGGACAATTCAATTACTTCGTTATGTAAACCACAATCTAGGGCTGTCGGTTCGTCGGCCCGCAAAATGAAGGCAGCAAATAAACCATCCGCTAATAGAGCGTTCATAGTTGGCGATCGTACGTGCGATCATGTGATTAAGCGATTAGGCGATTGGGCGATTAGACGGTGAAGACTACATAGGTATTGATTGATTTGCTCCACTCTTACAAGGGGAGGTCTTTCAGGTGGACCCGCGCTTTCTCAAAACGGTTTTTTGCATGATGTAGAGGGATGTGCATGGAGTACAGAACTGTAGTCCGTTTCCGCTAAATGGCTCTCTGAATGCCAAAAAAGGAGTGGGGAAGAAGTCCTTGGTTCGATTCCCCGCGGTGGCAAAATTTTTGCATTGTGAT